TCATCCGTAGTTACACTATGTTTCACAGCGCACGAGCTCACTGCTGTAATATACATGCAATGGCTGTGTACAAGCACAGCACCCAAATGGCACACTCATTCCCTTACTACAGGTGAATAGGTTGGTCCTGCATCTGTGGCTAACAGGTGCCTGGCTGAATTTCATTTGACTCCTAAGCAGCCTCTTCAGGTGTTGGTGTTCACTGGCCTGGTCCTGCCTCCTCCAGGAATCCTAGAAATTGCTAGTTACCTGGAGAGGCCCTGAGGGCAAAGAGGGCAGCAGGAGAGACACGAGCTATGATGGCAGAGTGTGATCAGAAGGGGGAATTCAGTGAACCAAGGGCCAGTTCAGAGTTGGGAGGGTAGGTTCAGTACGCTGGAGCCTTCCTGTCCAGAGTAGGTAGAGTGGTTTTCCAACTAGTCTCAGTGCCAGGCTGTCTCCCTCTGAACCCCAGCTCTGCCACTTACAAGATGTGTATTCTGGGGCTTGTTACTTAACCTTTCAGTCCCTTGATTTCTTCATCTGTGATGTGAATAAAAATAAATCGAAATGAGCCCTCACCGGGTGACTCAGTTGGTTGGAGCATCGTCCTGTGCACCAAAAGGCTGTGGGTTCATTCCCCAGTTGGGGCGCATATGGGCAGCATCTAATCATGTTTCTCTCTCTCTCTCTCTCTCTTTCTCTCTCTCCCTTTCTCTCTCTCTTTTTTTTCTCTCTCTCTTCTTCTCTCTTTCTAAAATAAATTTTAAAAACACACACATATCCTTGGGTGAGAATTAAAAAATAAATTAATTAAAAAGTAAAATAAAATAAATCTAAATGAGCTAGTGTATATAAAGCATTTAGAATAGCGCCTAGCATATGGTGAGGGCCTAACAAATGTGAGCAAGGGCTTATAGATATAGATATAGATATAGATTAGATATAGATTATATAGATATAGATAGATATAGATATAGATATAGATACAAACACACACACACATTATGACAGCAATGGGGCCTCCCACTCTGGCTCCCACTCTTACAGAATATAAGAGAAAGCGCCATTTGCATTCCTGTTTTTCACACAGATGGACAGAGAGCAGCTGAGGGCACCCACTTTCTCAGGGCACACTCCAGTTCGTTCTTCTCCTCGTGGGCTTCTTGGAGCTGGGAGAAGATTCTGGTCAGGAAATCCTCGAAGTTGGACAGTAAATGAGGCTCATCCTTCTTCAGCTGCAGCCAGAGTTGCTTGACGTCACTTTCACTGCAAGAGGAAAGGAATGTTAATGTAAGAGTGTGGAAATGAGGCTTTAAGTCAGCGATTCTTAACCTGTGGGTCGCGACCCCTTTGGGGGTCGAATGACCCTTTCACAGGGGTCACCTAAGACCATTGGAAAACACATATATAATTACATATTGTTTTTGTGATTAATCACTATGCTTTAATTATGTTCAATTTGTTACAATGAAAATACATCCTGCATATCAGATATTTACATTACGATTCATAACAGTAGCAAAATTACAGTTATGAAGTAGCAACGAAAATAATTTTATGGTTGGGGGTCACCACAACATGAGGAAATGTATTAAAGGGTTGTGGCTTTAGGAAGGTTGAGAACCGATGCTTTAAGGGAACACAGAAGTCCCCAGCTGTGAAACAGGCAGCCAGAAACAGCATCGTCATCATAATGACGACAGTGGCTAACCTTTACCAAGTGCTTGCTGTGTGCATATTAGCTCATTTTATCTCATAGCAACCTCTGTGGCAGGTGCTGCCATCACCCATTTAGAGATGAGGTGACAGATGAGGAGAGGGGAGGTGGAAGAGCTGTCTCAGACCACTCAGCTGGTAAAGGATGGAGCTGGGAGGCACACTCGGGCTGTCTGGCTCCTGTGTTGACCTCCTTATCTGCCTCACTGGCTGCTTCCACTCCCCTGTCTTTCTCTATGGGCTGGTGGTGCTGAGCGTGCACAGCTGCATGCTGGGCACATCTCAGATGCCCAGAAGAAGAAAGGAGGACAGGAGTCTGGTGCATGTGAGGACAAAGGCTGTGGAACTACAGGAGAGAGCTTGTCGCCCTAAGAAGGAAGGTCCTCACAGCTGAGAGGGAGAGACATGCCATTTGATGGATGGCAGAAGCAATTGTCACTGCGGGAAAAGGAAGAGAATAGGCAACACCCCACTGGGGCCTGGTGGCAGCAGGAATGACTGACAGGTGAAAGGAGGGGAAGTGGGAAGTCTGAAAGATGTGTGCACCACATGGAAAGACAGAGTCAGGAGGGAAAGAGCAGGCAGAGAGACAAAGACATAGAGGGACATGGCCAGAAACCGCCCCCCCAAAAAAACAACAACAACAGGCCCACGGGGCACATTCATATGTGCATGCACAGCAGCAGAGACACCTAGGGTCATGCTGACCAGCAGGGAGGAATAGGGAGGTGGTGTACACCATGGACCCTGCTCCCCTCTCTGGAGAAACTCAGTAATCTACAGCCAATGATCCCACTGAGCCAGACAGCAATCTGATTTGCACTCCATTAAATTCTACAACCACTATGATATGAGGGTAGCTATGACCAGAAACCCTCATGATAATGAATAATATCCTTTGTGCTTATATCACAAGCACCATATTTGAGAAACTTTCCTCAGAAGTGGTATTTGATAGTATCATGTTACTAATGTGCCTGGAATATAGACATTACTCTATGAGAAGAGGCCAACTGAGAAATAGACCTACCTCCAGTTAGTTATCTTATCATCTGTCCAATTATCCCTCCCTCCCTCCTTCCTTCCCTTGCTCCATCTCATTCAAGCATTCACCAACTCATCTAGACCACCTGTCCACTCACCCACCTGTCCATCTATTTACCCATCCATCCATCTATCTACTCACTCACCCACTCATTTAGCCACCCACCCACCCATCAATTTATTGATCCACCCATCCATCCATTTATCCACCCACCCATCCACCCATCCACCTAACAAGTATTTATTATCTGTTGAAAAACTAGCATTGAACTGGATGGCATGAAGGAATCTGAGAAACAAATGAAGGAGAGGTAAGGAGCTTCCTTATTTCCCATAATGAGCTCCATTCTCCCCACACAGAACATGTTGTGGCTATCCACTTTATTATCTGGGCACAATGGATGGGGCACAAAAGTTTCAGAGCTAAAAGGGCTCAGAGTGGCCCTAACCGGTTTGGCTCAGTGGATAGAGCGTCCGCCTGCGGACTGAAGGGTCCCAGGTTCGATTCCGGTCAAGAGCATGTACCTTGGTTGTGGGCACAACCCCAGTAGGAGGTGTGCAGGAGGCAGCTGATCGATGTTTCTCTCATCGATGTTTCTAACTCTCTATCCCTCTCCCTTCCTCTCTGTAAAAAATCAATAAAATATATTTATAGTCACTCAGTGTGTGCGTGCACTTCCGGGACGCCCTGCATTGTGCTGGATGATGTAGTGTTTAGTGCTGGTGTGAACCTTACAGATATGAACCAAGGAGGGCCCGGCGTGCCTTCGCACCGTACTGTACAATTTACTTTTGCCGTAATTCAAAGAATGGCAGACAATGCGACCGTTTTATCTGTCAGAAGCGTCTGTCGGTGAATATTTGATTTGATTTTCTCCGCAGTGAGAGCCCGCGCTGTGACAGATGCTGCTCCGTGTCCCTTCTAGGCGGAGAGGGAGCTTTGTGAGACTGTCCCTGGGGGTGGGGGCTGTCCCTGTTGGAGGAGGCCTGGTCAGTGCTGCCGCTGGACACCGGGTCCGGGGGCTTTGCTTCCTAGACTGTCCGGGGTCGGTGACACTGCAGTGACCTGAGGAGGGGACACGGAGGCCGAGCAGGTCTCCTAAGAGCTGCACGCACGGCTCCAGAGGAGAGACTGTGCTGGGACGTGGGGCGGGCGCCCAGGGTGAAGGGTGGGTGGTGCCCAGGCAGAGGGAAGCCTGTGTCTCCGCCCCTGGAACTCCTGGGTGTGTAAACTGCCTCAGAATCTCGCCTCCAGGCTGGACCAAGGACCTTTGTGTGAGCTCAGCACCAGCTCAGGTGCTGGACTGGCAGTGGTCAGTGTGCTCTGGCCTCTTGTCCCTGGAGAAGATGAGTCAGTTGTCTGACTAACGAGCTTCACACATACCTGCGCCCCCAGCACGCCTGCCTAGCCCACTCCAGTTCTGCAGATCTGCGCCTGCACCAGCCCTCCAGGCCTGAGCAGAGCTGCTGCCGCTGCCACTGTGTCATTTCATTTCCTGGCCAGAGCCTCCCACAGGGCTCTCTCCTAGCCCTCCACCTGTCCTTTCCTTGCCTGGCACAGGTTTTCCTAGCTTTTCTCAACTCAGACACAGCCAATCAAATCATTTGCACAGCCTGTCATTTGCTAGAAAATTCACAGAGCAACAGACACTTTCTCAGGCCTGCATGTTGTTGCAGGACCCTTCTCTCCTGCTTCCTCTTTATCACAGTCTCCTCTTCCCAAGCACAGGACACATCAGCTCCAATCATTAGGCCACTCCCACCCTTCATGAAACACACACCCAACCCAAGACTTATAGACCCAAAAACGAAAAGGCAAAAGGCAACAGAAATAGGGGGCAGAGTATTCCATGTTTTTCAGGTCACTGTATGGTTTCCATTAGTGATACCATCACTTTATTTTATTATTTTATTTTATATCATTTTTAAATTCCATGTTAAATGTTAGGGCTCAGATTCTTATGTCTTTCTTCCAAAACACTTTTTGCAAAAAATAGAAAAATGGAGTATTATGTTTTGTTTGAAGTTCCATCTACAATTTCTAGCTGAGCTACTGATTATCCAAGTGGTGGGCTGGTAAAACCTGGTTAATTTCCTGCCTCGGCTTCCTGACAGGTTTGGTGTGGCTTGGGATGCAATGTGCAGACACTTCCACATAGGGCGCCTTTGCCAGGAGCATACCACAGGGGGGTGGCTGGGATGCACCGCAGCCCCAGAGAGCCTGGGTTGGCTCCAATGAAGGTGACAATGCTGGTGAGCGGACGGTGAAGCCTTAGGCAAAATGCAGAGAAAACCACAGGCCTGGCACAGCCCTCTAATGTGTGAGCACTCCTCACTGAGCCTCAGGCTGTGCTGGTAATGAATAGCAGGAAATGCAGAGAGTGGGAGAGTAGGGAGATAGTTGATTCCCATGAAAAAAGTGGGAAAAGCAGAGACTATAGGGCGCCTTTGCCAGGAGCATACCACAGGGGGTGGCTGGGATGCACCACAGCCCCAGAGAGCCTGGGTTGGCTCCAATGAAGGTGGCAATGCTGGTGAGCTGACGGTGAAGCCTTAGGCAAAATGCAGAGAAAACCACACGGCCTGGCACAGCCCTCTAATGTGTGAGCACTCCTCACTGAGCCTCAGGCTGTGCTGGTAATGAATAGCAGGAAATGCAGAGAGTGGGAGAGTAGGGAGATAGTTGATTCCCATGAAAAAAGTGGGAAAAGCAGAGACAGAGCCCCCACACCATGACACACAAACAGGACATTGCAAGGGCAGGCTGTATGGGGGCAAGTCTTGAAGCTGGCAGCACGGAGCCTGGGGCCTGGCTCTGGGGCTTAACAAACATTAATGGTTGAATGAAGCAGATACAGAGGTTGCTCCTAGGCTGGGTTCCCTCCCCCAAGTCACTGTCACCACTTACTCTTCCAAAACATTTTGGGCTCCAAGTTTGTCCATCAGCATCTGGAACTGGGCTTCCTCATCTTCATCCAGGTCACCCAGATCCTCCTCCGCTCTGGACTGATACACCTTCTCCTCCTGGAGTGGGGCCACCTGTTCACCTGCATCTCCCTGACTTGGCTTGCTCTGGCTGAAGAAGAAATGACCTGGGGGATGCATGGTACAAGGGTCTGAATCAGGCAATGCTCACCCAAGAAGACCTTCCGTTTCTCAGTTGCCAAGAATCATTTGAGGTTCATCTGAGAGAAGAAAAAGGGAAACCACCTATAGCAAATATCCTAGGACAACATATTCTGGATTTTGTGTCTTTCCTACTCCCAAGAGACTCTGCCAGAGATGCTAGAATAGAACCTGGGAAAGGCAGAATGTATGGCAGGTACTCTGGCACCTTGATGGTTCTCAGTCCTTTAAAGTCTGGCTTAGATCGCATCTCTTCATTGATTTCTTCTCTAAACAACAAGACCATTCTCTCCATCACACCCCAGTGATCTGACCGCCCATGCTCCATGTTATCATCTACTTGGACCTACCAGCAGCATCGCTATACTTCACATTCGCAAATTACTGTATAGCTTCAGGTGCACTCTTCCCATTCTCATATGGTCTAGTAATACAGCAATCTGTCTTATCTTCCTAAGACCATTGCAAGCTCCTGAAGGTCAGGAAAGGCCTCAGATACTTCACAGTAAACTAGACGGCACCTTGTAGGAGCCAGATGTGCGGTGAAATGTACCTGCTGATTTATCTGATCAGTACCTGCTCTAATCAATATCGGATCAGTCTAATTCGATGGCATAGCTGGTTTTCTTGTCTGCTTCATGGATCTCTGATCTCCTGGTTAACCTGGAATAACTGTCCTATTCAAACCCTCTAGGAAGTCCTAAACCCCGAGACTCAGCTGGAGTCTGAGTCATCCCACTTTATCGTCCTCTAGTACCAAGGCAGAAATGAGAGGCTGGGAATCTCAGCTCAGCTCCCCCTTTCATGCCAGGCCTTCTGCCAGAACTTCTCTGGATTCCACTGATGGCATAGCTGGTTTTCTTGTCTACTTCATGGATCTCTGATCTCCTGGTTAACCTGGAATGACTGTCCTATTCAAACCCTCTAGGAAGTCCTAAACCCGAGACTCAGCTGGAGTCTGAGTCATCCCACTTTATCGTCCTCTAGTACCAAGGCAGAAATGAGAGGCTGGGAATCTCATCTCAGCTCCCCCTTTCATGCCAGGCCTTCTGCCAGAGCTTCTCTGGATTCCACTTGCCATTCCTGGTGGCAGGGAACTTGGCAATGACAGTGTGGTAAGCACTGAGAGAGCAGTGGTGTGAGCAGCCAAGGAAGACATATGAAAGAGCCACAAAATCCAGAGCCTGAAAATGTCAGGAAGGCAGAAAAGCTTGTGCTCCCAGGACCCTGGGATCTGGTGGGCAGGGTGCACTTTCTGTAGGGTTAGGGAGACCCAAACAATGGGGCCCCCGCATCCATCAGAACTTACTAAACCCAGTGGTGAACTCCTCTGGAGTCAGAAAGCCATTGCCATCAGCATCCAGGGCATCAAACACATCCTCCAAGTCCTCCAGGCTGAGGGGCAACTCTTTATGGAGCCTCTGAAAACAACCCAGACCGCACTGGTTAACATTCATGATCATGGAGGGTGGCCTGGGACCTCCTGCCAAAAAAGGCCCAGACGGGGCCCTGTCCTACAAAAGCCGGAGTGAGCTTCTGAAGACCACTTTACCATTCTTCTCCTCCTTGGAATATTAGAATGTCAACCATTTATTGGGTGCCTACCAAAGTGCTAGGCAATTTGCTAAGTGAGTTATAAGTAAGTATTTAAACATGTATACATTTATCAATATATTTATATACCTTCTATGTTAATATATCTTTGCATTGAATTCTCATGACAACCCTCGGAGGTGGATGTTATTATCTCCATTTTATAGATGAGGTGTGAAGTTAAATGACCTGTCCCATGGTCGCCTAGCTCAGCGGTCGCCAACCTTTTGAACCTCACAGACCACCAGTGGTCCGCGGACCACCATTTGGTGACCGCTGCTCCAAAGGTTTCCTTAAACCAGCGGTCGCCAACCTTGCAGACCTCACGGAACGACGTTGCCAGGTGTCAAGTCCAGGTCTGACTCCAAAGCTGGTGCTCCTCACAGCTGTAATGGACAGACTGTACCGGAAACTATACAGGACTGAATCCTATTGTGAGGTGATACCCACACAATGTGAGGCTGTCAAGTTAAATGAGCTAACAAATGTAAGGAATATGACACAGTGCCTGGCCGAGAAAGCAAGAGAGAGAGAGAGAGAGAGAGAGAGAGAGAGAGAGAGAGAGATAGCTGATACACCATAAAGTTTAATTTGGCAGGTACGTGCATTAGGGAGACTATGATGCATTACAAAGAGGGAAGACAGAATGATGTGAAAGCCATTTAGAAGAATTAAATTAAACATGAATGAGTTTTTGTCTTAAGGAAGGAGAGTGAGGGTGTGTGCAAAAATTCTAGAAGTGCATCTGCTTAGCATACAGCAGAGTCTCTGGTTTACCAGCAATCCATAAACCAGCCGTCCCAAACGCCGCAGGAAGAGAATGGGGAGTGAGGAATCAGTTTTGCAAGCAGAACGTTTATTAGCTCCGCTGAAACAAAAGGCATCACACCGAAGGTGGGGGAAAACCCAAGCTCCTCGCCCATCCAGATTCCAGCCCTTTCTTTGGAAACACCCTTCCCCCTCCCACCATCAGCCTAGGGTTGCTGGACCTGGCATGAAATGGGACAGCACACACAGAGCTAAAGCCAGAAAAGGGCTGGAAGGAAACTGCAGAGGTCGGTGGGGCCCTCGGCTTGGCTTTCTCCCAAACCACCCACACATGGTAGCTTTTCTCTTGTTAGGATGAGCCAAAAGAAGCTGTTATACCCCACCTTAGGCACTATTCCTACATCAGCGGTTCTCAACCTGTGGGTCGCGACCCCTTTGGCGGTCGAACGACCCTTTCACAGGGGTCGCCTAAGACCATCCTGCATATCAGATATTTACATTACGATTCATAACAGTAGCAACATTACAGTTATGAAGTAGCAACGAAAATAATTTTATGGTTGGGTCACAACATGAGGAACTGTATTTAAAGGGCCAGAAGGTTGAGAACCACTGAAATGCCTCCCGCCACAAATCCTTCCCATTGTCTAATCCCAATCCTCTGTCTACGTCTCAAACCCAGTGTCCTCATCCTGCTGTCAGTGAAGATGGGAGAGCAATATTATATCCTCCTAGTAATTCCCACTCTTCATATCCTGGCAAATTCACACTGAGTGCTTCTTCAGCCTTCTCCGCAAGCCACACCACGCCAGAGTTCATAACCCCTTTTACCTGAAAAATCCTTTCGTCTTAGTAACTATAATTCTCTTATTTGTCTTTCCTCTCAGGGCCTGAAGCTTATTCTGGTCTTGTCCCCTGGGTACCTAGCGTGCTGTGTCTGGTCAGGATTACTCATTCCTCTGTGTAAATAACCTTGAGACTCTGAGGTCACAGCAGAGGCCAGCGCTGGGAGGAAGACCCAGTTTCCCATCCCGGCTCCCGCTGCAGTCCAAGGGTCCTCTGGCTAATCATTCTCTCACTCCCTGTCTGCTTACCATCCCACACCTGCCCACTGACCACCACTGTCTATTTGGCCAGCACCACCAGGCACGGCCTCAAAGAGCCCCTGCTTCACTCCCACCCACCCCCACCCCCGGCAGGCCGGCAGCAGGGAGGAGACATGGAAGGACATCAGCGCG